GGAGTGCAGACTAATACAAGTTTGGAATGATTACTTACAATTTATTAGACTCCAGGAAAAGCCAGACTTTATTTTTGTGTTTGTATGTACTTATTTGAAATCCTGAGTGATGGAGGAAGTGGAAGAAGGGGAGGGAGACAAATGGCTTCAACAGCCATGTTGGTTCATGCCAAGCCAGAAAGCAGAAGCTTCATTTTGCTTTCCCACATGGGGTGGGGGGGGGGGGCTGGGACCCAAGTATTTAAGCCATAATGCAGTGAGTGTCTTTCCAACTGCCTTAGAACGAAACTGGATCAGTAACAGAATACCCTGAACTTGAAACGCATTTTCCAGGTTACAGCCATGAATCTTTATGATGATGAGATTATGTTCTGCCAAATGTGTCCTCAACGAATTTCATCATTGTGCAAACAACCTTACATGCGCACAAACCTAGAGGGCAGAGTCTGCTGTGCATGTGGGTTTTTTGGTAATAGTTCACTGTTTCTAGACTACGAACCTGTACAGCATCAACTGTCCTGAATATCAAAGGGAACTTAGAACAACTATTTATGTATATAAGCCAAAAAGACACCAGTAAAATTAAACCCTTGACTTTTTCAGTTTCTTGTGGAACAACCATCATATATGATGCCCTAGTCCTAAAGGCTGTTGCCATGAATGACCATGAGACAGAGGTAAATACTGAAGACAACTATAGGTACAATAGCCTGGACCAGATCTGAAAACATCAGATATCATCATCAGTAACCTACAGGGTCCTGTATAACACAAAACATGCAAGTGAGACCAATGGAGACTTCCTATGTCTCAACTTCATACAGAAATGATGTTCACGGTCACCTATCATGTCAATTCTGAGCTTACACTGATTGGATTACACTAGTTCCAGGCGTTGTTAGATTTTAGTTCACGTTTTTTGACAAAGAATAATCATTTAATTAGCTAACTCTAATCTTAGAAGGTATGTAATAAGAACTCAAATTATTTCTGGATGTAAAAAAATATAATATTATTATTGGTACAAATAAAAAATGCACCATGAAGAGAATGACTCCTGGTTTCCTTTAAAGTTTTTACTTTATTTCTACATGTTTTGGGACACAAAAATAAAGGCAGAAATATCTGGAGGAGAGGTGTTGATTTGGTCACCCATGCATGGAACTTACCTTGCAGTGACATGTAAAGGAATTTAATAAATGTTAATAATGAATGATTGTGAAGATGTCATTTATAATGTTACAGTCCAGGAAACTTGAACATAATTATAAAATGCTAATTCCCAATGTATTTTTCAAGGGAAAATGCTCATAAAGAAGTATTTTCACATGATCTACTATTCCACCATGCTTCTGATGTGGTCTTAACGTCTGAATGTTGAAAGGTTGGCTTCCAAATACCATCTATCACAGCTACTGAGGGATTTTTGCATCTGAAAATCATGAGGCCTTTTCAAACGGAGAGTTTACATTGTTTAATGGAGATTGGAGGAAAGCAGTTTTATGCCCAGGCACAGAACTTCAGATGACCAGGTCATACAAAGGAAACTTTTTTATTAAGTCATTTCTAGAAGTCTTAAGACACCCTTTTCATTGAACTGATCACCTCAAGAATATAATAGTATGAAAGTCACCTCTAAACAGCATTAAAGAATCCTTCATCCCCTCGGAGAATTGCTTGTCGTTTTGTTTTCCAACTTCAAAGTTGGCAGAAAATGTTTACCTTTTTGCAGCACATGCAAAACCCCCAGAATAGGCAGGAGTATGAACAAACATGCAAAATTAATTTGAACTAGACAGCCCTGAAATTTCCTTGAAAGCTGACCACATTCGTGAATGAAGAATCAAAAACAAAGTACTGAGAATGGTTGCTATCTCATTAAGTTGTATTGAAGAAGATAAAGGAAAAAGTGGTTTCTGTCCACTAGAAGGTGCTCTGCTCTGAATTATCTGTTCCAGTAAATACCATACTTTTGATCTTTATATCAGACTAAGAAGCGCCCAATATTCAAACTTCAAATTTAGCCACCAAGAGTCAAATGTAAATACAAAAAAATAAAACACTCCATGCTATAGGAATGACAAAGAGGAAATGTACACAACTATTTTCTCAGGCATTTAACCATTAGAGCTTGGAGATGAAAGAGCAGCGGTGTCAATAATATGTCTACAGTTTATATCACAAAATCAGGATATAAGGAAATTATTAGTGTCTCATAGTCTCATCGATATACAGAAAAATAATGAAGACCAGTTACCATGTGCTATGCATACAAAGGGGCTTAATTTATATTTGTCCTAAATAAATCAATTTATAAATTTTGAGAGCTTGCCACTTGCATTGTAATTCTTTGGGGAAAAAATATTTTAATGATTAATGGGGAAAAAAGTCATGGAAGGGTGAACCCTGAGTAAACACTGCCTGATACTGAAAACACTTAAAATAGGCAGCCACTCTACCATTTCTTAAACAAAACTTTTAGTTTCAACATTAGTATTTATTATTTTAAGCTAAGTCTAGGCATGAAGCCTCTAAAAGTTTCTGAATGGGTAACTAAGACTTAAAAACAGAACTAGGGAGTTTCTATATTGTTTTCTGTCATCGATGCATGCATTTTATCATTTAAAAAGTAGTAAGTATTTCTTTTTTTTTTTTAGTGAATTCATTTTATTATATCCATATGCTAGAGTGGCAATTCATTTTCCTCTGGTCTAAGTAAAAACAGAAATCATCAATAATATGGATTTAGAATATGTATATTTTCTTGATTTCAAATGTTTAAAATGCACTAAAGGGCCAATTGTTTTAAAATTCAAAGACATTATTTAGAAGGGCATACCTTGATTACAATATGATATTTGGGAGAATAAAATGTAGAAAGGAGAGAAAGTCATTACGTTTCTACGTGCGTGGGTCATATATGCCACAGAAAGAAGAGAGAATCAACATAACTTAGCCAGCTTATATTGGTCTTTTTTTTTCTATAATTTATTAGAACTTACAGTTTCCTGAATTTGCAAATCAGGGCATCCAGATGCAGTATTGCAGCTAAGACAAGGTTCAGACAAAAATGGCAACATTTGCTGAGTTCAATGAGATTGCAAAAGACTTTCACAAATCTTATCCTTTAGGCTTTGAGTATTTATATGTCTACGATGCAACAGTTAAAAATAATTTGCTGATAGATTAAAACACAGTAGCCAAATATATTTTAATAAGATAACAAAGATCCCATTAAATTAAAGAATACACATTCAAGAAATTTAAGCAGGGACAATTTCTTGCTGAAATTTTGCTGGTAAAAATAGTTAACCCTTAGACTTTTGGGGTCCTGGGGTGTGATGTCATCCTTCAAATAACAACGATCTTAGGAAAATATGGTGAAATCAGCTTTTCTTGCAGAACGTAACGTCACACTAAATATTTTCCTCAGGTGACTTTAAGAAAGTCGGGGGGTGGGGGCAAGAGCCCCTGTGCAGAGTGACCTCTGTTTGAAACGTTTGCTTAGTGATCTCGAAAGCAGTGCAACAGGCAGTGACACCTGCTCTCAACATGTAGGTCTGGGCCAGGCAGAGGCCAGGGGCCAGGAACTCCACCTTGGTCTCCTACACGGCCCTCCTGCTATGTGCAGCAGCAAGATTAGATATCCAGAGGGTAGCTAAGACGAGACACCTGCACTCCCCCCACCGCCGGCCCCTGCTTGGTCTTAACTGTCTTAAAAGAACAGAAACTGCTCTCCAGCTAGAAGGGTGCACAGCATTTCTCATATTGAAAGAATGGGTTACTCTATGTGTTCTTGAGGAAACGTCTGCCATTCTTAAAGAACAAGAACTAAAGCAAATAGAATTTTCAGCTGCTATGAGTCTGAGTCTGGTTCAAGGGAATGGCAATATATTGTGAAAATTAATGGGGCCTCTTGTGACTTAAGGATAAGGTCATAAATCACTTTGGAACATAATATTGTGTATTGAAAAGTGCCTAATTCTGTATATTTATGAGTTGAAGAGGTGCTGGAGAGCAAACAGTAAATGAATAGAACAGTAACAAAATCAATATGAATATTGATTTCCTGACCTTTTGGGGGGAGCCCTACAGTACATTTTTCCCATTTAGTCAGGTTTAAATGATCTCCAAGAAGACTTTCATCAGGTTTCCTATAATGGTCTGACACCCAAATACATTTTCAAGTGGACAACTCTCATTATTAAATACCCCTTCTACCAGTGGCCCGGATAAAACATATAAAAATACATTTCTTGCAGCTATACAGTATACCTATTTATACATTTACTTGGGTTATTTTATTTTTAGCAACTGATTATGCCTAGCTCAATGTTAGAAAATAACTTGTACAAAAGCTCTTCTTGGGGAAAAAATGTAGAAACGTAATTCACCTGTTCACATATCAATGGATCTGACATTAGATAAAGTTCATTCTAAACCAGTACACACTATGATTGACGTATTTGGGTTGAGCTTCTTTGGTAGAAGAAAATAGAAACAGTCCCCGAAAAGGCTTGGTTATTTCCCCAAATCCTGTTTGCCAGAAAGTCTGCTTTCTGTCCATCATCCTGTTAGGACATAGCGCTGGAATCATCAATCCTATTTCAAAGATCTACTGGGCACAGACATAGGCCTTCTTAAACAATAGTGAAAACTGAAATTAGTCAAGTACATACACTCCTGAGAGAGAGAGAGTAGTCCAGAATTAGGAGTTGACCACATCAGAAAAAGAGATCAAGTTATGTTAATAACAGAATAAACAAGAACAGATTCACACCACTCTTACGAAGACGGAATCCCTGGAAATAGAAGTCCTGTACTTAAAAATAATTAGCACTCACACGGACAAGCTAAGGCTGAAGGCACATGTCATACACTGAGCTAATCTGATAGACCACTTGGCTGATCGGTTCTGGGATGTGCTTCACAGCCAAATGGTCAGATCAATGGAAGCAGAGATCAGATGCAAAGTTCAGTGTCACAGCTTCCTCTCTTACCTTCCGCTGAGGAGGAAGCCGATAACCACTGCCAGCAAAAGGACTCCCACGGTCACAGACACAGCAATTATAGGGATCTGGCTCTGATCGCTGGATGCTGCAACTGCTGACAGGAGACACAGAAAATGGAGCTTGTGGTTAGAATGAACATGTGGATCCAAAATAAGAGTTGTCCGATAGCTGATAACCAATTCATGGTTTAAGCCCTTCACTCACACTTGGCTGAACTTTTCCGCTAACATTCTTTCTTTAAAATTGTGTAATTGCAAAGTCATTTTTAGGAGAGATTATTTACACTCCAAATTTTAAAAAAACTCACTAAATTCAGTGATTATTTCATTGTCTTCATAAAGAATGAATGTATATTGTTTACACAGTTTTCATCTACAGGCCTTTCAACTGCAAGACAAAATGGAATTCCTGCTTAAATTTGCCCAAGAAGGAGGTGTTAGGTACATGGAATTTAACAATGTTTAGGTTTTACATGTTGCAGTTGTGTGGGAAAAAAATGAGATTAAGTCAGATAGGATTCCTTCCCCACAGACATAGTTTGAAGTCCAAATAATGAGACTAAGAACTCAATGAAGGTGAATATATCATATTGTTATTCTTAACGTAATTTAACAGAATATGTAGTTCCAAATACAACATAATCAGTATAATCTTTTTTTATATAAACATCAAAGCATGCATCTTGAAATCCACGCAGTCTTCATTTAGGTCAGCTTCACTTACATCACATTTTTAAAATCAAGAGGATTTTGGTTAAAATTTCTATATTTTAATGACGTAATTTATATAATAAAAGAAACATGATATGAACATGATTATTTGTATCTAAGTAAGCAAATGCATTTCTCGTACTGATAAGCAATCCTGATTAAAACAGGAAACATCTAATTACAATAAATTCTACTAATAGTTTCAAGAATTCATTAATTGAATATCTGTATATTTCTTGCCTAAAGACACAGCCATTCTGATAAGTGCAGAGTGCTGTTAGTTCACCTGCACCAGACCAACTTTTAAGTAAGCAGAATTAACAACAGAACATTGTCCATGTCTGGCTTTTGTAACTTCTTCCAAGATTTTATATCAACAACAGTTTGGGTTTCACAGTTCCCTTTCAATCTGATCAACTTCTCCTCAATTCTCATTTCTTATGAAATATTAATTGATTTGAAGGGCAAAGAGACAGATAGATAATTTTCTTCCAGTCCACAACAACCAAGATTGGGTCAGCCTGAAGCCAGGAGCCTGGAAACCCATCCAGTCTTGCAAGTGAGCAGCAGGAACTGAAACAGTTGAACCATTCTCAGGAAATTGGACCGGAATTGCAGAGCAGTGGGCACCTGACACAGGTACTCTGCTATGCAATGCTGGCAACCTCACGTGCCAGGCAACAATGCCAACCCCTTACTTCTCATCCTCCAAAACGGACTTGTTCTATGGCCACTTTATGGCCTTTGGAAACCTACGTAAAAAACAGACTAAATGAAACAATGATTTACAAATCTGTATTCCTACCTTCTCTTTGAGAAATTTACAGACAAATAATACTTTACCATGATTTTTCCTATTTTTCCAGTGCTGCCTACAGATTTAATTATTTGTGTAGTACAAATGAAGTGGAGAAAATTATTAAATTCTAAACTAAGAACACTTCTATCATTGGGGTTTTCTGTTTTATTTGTGTTTGCTTTAGTAGAACACATTCTTTCTGAAGAAATCTGTCCAGATTTGGTCCATAGAAGTTTGCTATTTTGAAATTGAGTGTTATTTTGAGTGGATTCAGACTGCTGCTGAATGTCTCTGGATATCTCTTAGTAACTGAAAAAAAAATCATCTCCCTAACAAATCCTTCTTATTTTCTATTTGGATTAATCCATTTCCACTGCCCATATTTAGAAATGTCATATATGACAGATAAAAGCAGTGAACTTTGAATGCCATGATCACATAAAACTGTAAAAACTTCTTTTACTTAACCCTACTGATAAAATCCTTCCTGCAATTTCTAAGACTTATTCATTCTAAACCATTCTCCAAAATAAAAAAATAAATAAATATATAAATAAAAATGAATGTCTTAGTGTTACAGCATTGCTGCAAACACAGCTTTGTGAAATTTTGTTTTGCTTCTTTGAATAAGAATTGCTAAGAATGATACAGCACTGCAGTTTTAATCAGCTGGGATTATTTTTAAAATTTATACTATATGAGTGAAAAAATTTTAAAAATGAAAACTCCCCTTTAGGAGAGAGTATTGTTTTCTGAAAGGCTGAAACTCTATCGTTTATATACATGAGAGTATATCTCTCTGGGGAGAAAGTTTCTTCATAACTAAACTTACCAGCATTAGTTCAACCTGATTAAAAACCAGGCCAAACATTCACTAAACACATGAGCCAAGGAGATTCTACAACCTTTTAGGATCACATTTCCTTCAATTTTCAAATAGGTTTAATCTCCTTAGACCCCTGTATTTCTGGTAAGATCAGTGATTACATAAAAGCAATTTGCAAAGTGCCTCAACTACTGCCAACTTAAATAAACAGTAGGTATTAGGTCTACTCAACTCCAAGTTTATTTACTATCCTTATTATCTGTCAGTATACTTATCTTCTGATGGCCAGCATTATTAAACTCTGAAATTTGTCTTGCCATCTTCTGCTTTGAACTGAATGCAAGGTTTGACATATACTATTTGACATATATCATACATACATGATATAATTTGATATGCAGTTCATCTTACCTTGTACATAAAATATGTAATGTGATCAAGGTGAACTGACACCTCATCCTCAAGATACTCACTTCCTGCTCTTTATTTTATTAGGCAACATGTTCCCCCCTTTTCATTTTTCCTTTCCTGAACCTGTGGGTTCTGTTGGAGCCGCGTCTTCCTCTCCTACCTTCTCTTCGTTTTCATGAGAGCTCATGCTAATGGTCCTCACTTCTCTCTCCTTCCTAATCTTTCTATTCTCTCTCCTTGACAACTCTTTGCTTGTAGTAAAATAAACGTCGGTCTCTGTACCTCCAACTACTATTTCTCTTAAGAGCAATACTTTGCTTTTTTGATAACAGACTGTTCTCTGCTTTATTGGGATTGTCACATAAAAACAGCACTTTAAAATTGACCCTTACACTACATCCACCCTGAAGGGTATGAACACAACATGTCAACAAATAAACATAAATCAAACCAATAACTGAAACTGACTTGCTATTTTCTGGCTCCTTTTAACCACCAATGGGTCTTTCTTAACCTTCATTTACTCACAACTTATTATTTTGTTTTCCCCATGCATCAGTTCCCCTCATCCAACAGTCATGAATTTGATTAAAATATTTCTAATCATTAACTACTTTATGAGCTAATTTCATCATTTACCATATTGTAAACATGTTGTGTATGACAAAATGAGCCTTCAGACACTCATTTATCCAAATTACTTGTTTTTTTTAATTAATGACAATATAGTCTTGGAAAATAGCTGAATGTGTGCTGCTGACTACTGAAAAGGCACGTTCCAAGCAATGGAACATGCTATCAATCACAGCTATAATTCTAGTATCATTTATTGCATAACAATGTTTATTGTTTCAAACCACTACACATTCACATCATACTTGGACATTTTGAGACAGTCTAGGTTGAAAACGCACACCTTTTCCCTTCACATATTTCCTACATTCTGTGCATGAACACAACAACAATCACTGGTTAACTTCCTTCATCTGGAGATCCTTACTAAGTTACAGCTTTCCAGAAATAATATTAGCATCTACAAGGAAGTAGAAACTTTGGAACCACGTTAGAAACCAGGTAACCACAAGAAAAGATGTTGAAACATTTTGGCTGCCAGGAAAATTCAACTTGAAGCCATGATGAGAGATCATGACACAGCAATCCAAAATGGATAACAAAGAAAAAAATACGAAAGCATCAAATGTTGATGAAGAAGGGGAGATATATTATTCATAGATTTCTTGTGGGAATGTAAAATAATGAGTGTGCTACAGAAAACAATTGGTAGTTCCTTTGACAACCAAGCAGTAATTATCACATGACCCAACAATTTTGCACTTGGTAATTTATTCCAGAAAAAATGAAAACTTACATTGGCTCAAAAATATATGTTCATGGCAGCTTTTAAAGAGCAAAAACTGAAAAAAATAAAACCTAGATATTATTCAACAGAATGACCAAATGTGTTAAGATGCTCTGAGACCAAGTCTGGTATGTATATCATGGAATACTATTAGGTTTAAAAAAATGAAGAAATAAAGAACTGTGATAGATACAAAAACCTGAAAAAATCTCCAGGAAATAAACCTAAAGAGAAACAAATTCAAAATATAATACCACCTCCCGAATTATTCAACAAATGAAACATTTCTGAAATATCAAAATGCAGGACAGGTGACTGGTTAGCAGGGGTTACTGGCAGACTAGGACTTACTCCCAAGGTGGTGAGGGCGGTTTTAAAGGCAAAACTTGAGAGCTTTTTAATGTTTGCTCAGTATGCTATCTTACAGCCACCGTAACACAGACAAGTGATCACCCTGTCACACCCATGTGTCAACAGACACCTTCATCAATATACAAAGAAGAATTAGCTAAGGTGATTTAAATCTGTGGGTTGCTTCACTGTCAATATCCTGGAGTAAATCTAGTTTTACAAAATGTTCCCATTAGGAAAAACTGAGCAATATATGCCAAATTTCTCTATTACACAAAATACTACGTGTGAATTTACTCTTAAATTCAAATTTTAAAATCATACCAGCATTATTCTTGAAGCCAGGTAATGCAGCTTTGACAATAAGAGTTAGAAAGGGCTGGTGCTGTGGCCCAGTGGCTAATCTCTGACCTAAAAGCACCAGGATCCCATATGGATGCTGGCTTGTGCTCTGGCTGCTCCACTTCCCATCCCGCTCCCTGCTTATGGCCTGGGAAGCACCTAATTGTAAAACAATATTCTTGTCCTTAAATACCGGAAAAACGAAATAAGCTTTCCTTAGTAAAATGTCCCAATAAAGACAGGAGTCTTCACTATTTCTACCAAAGAAAAATCCGCTGAATACATTTTGGGAAAATTAAAATCACCTATAATTGCATACTTCATGCATTGTAACATTAGGAGAACTTGTTGGGGGAAAAATAATATCTATGTATATCCATATTATATATAGATATGCTATATCTATATCTATATATTATTATATATTATTATGTATAGATATAGCTATAGATATATAGATATATAAAGAGATACACATGTGTACAGGTGTGCATATAAGTATGTATTTAAACATGAGAAGAATTAAATTGTCACACATTAATTTTCCAGTGAAATAATGAAATTTATTTTAGTGAATAAAATAATGAAGAGTCACAAAGACCACACTGATAACAGTCAAATTAAAGGTCTGTCACACAAACAGAGCCTAATTTCTGACTTGAGGTCTAAGCTGAATTGCAATTGTTGATCAGGTTTGACTCCCTGAGACTATGCAACTTGAGAAAGAAGGGAGGGTACCCTGCAGGACTCATTCATCCACAGTACTCCGGGTGAAAACTCTAGTCACTGACTGGGGATAAATAAAAAATGCCTTTAAATTAAATAAAGTTATTCAAAACTGGTTTTTTTTTAAGATTTATTTTTATTATTTTTTTTATTGGAAAGGCAGACATACAGAGAGGAGAGACAGAGAGGAAGAGCTTCCGTCCCATGATTCACTCTCCAAGTGAGCACAACGGCCGATGCTATGCCGATCCAAAGCCAGGAGCCTCTTCCGGGTCTCCCACGTGGGTGCAGGGTCCCAAAGCTTTGGGCCGTCCTCGACTGCTTTCCTGGGCCACAGGCAGGGAGCTGGAAGGGAAGCGGGGCTGCTGGGATAGAACCGGCGCCCATAAGGGATCCCGGGTGTGCAAGGCGAGGACCTTAACCACTTGTGCCACCGCGCCGGGCCCACCTCAAGCATATTTTAAGATACTAGATATGGTTTTGTTCCCAGAGTTGCCAGGTTGCATAAACAGTACATATACATCCATAGAGTTCACACCAACATCCATAAACAGCATCAAGACCTATTACAATGGCCAGTGCAGGTTACGCATCTTTTGCTTTAAATCCATTTTGGGTTCAAAGACAAAGACTAAATAATTAATTAGCAAGATTATGGGAATTTTCTGAATATTCTAGTCTTCTAAAATCCGAAACAAAAGTTTTCCAAATATTATTAATGATTCAAATGTTACTGCCTCCAATTAGATCCCAGCTGTGAGCCTTTGGTTTTTAATAAAATTAACCCATCATTATTCAAGATGGCACACTTGGCTATTTAAGATTCAGCTGAAGACCACATTGGGAACCACCCATTCATTTTTTATATAACAGAGATTATTTTCTCTGGCCCATGTTTTGGTGAACGGATTAATCTACCATCTGGCAACAATTTGAGTTCTGGTTGTTCTGCCTCTGATCCAGTTCCATAGTAATGGCCCTAGAAATCAACAAAACATTTGGTCCCTGCAACCCACACGGGAGATCCAGAAGAAGCGCCTGGTTCGCGGTTGCCGCCTGGCTCCCACCTGGCCATGGCAGCAAGGTGGAGAGGGAAGCAGTGCGTTGAAGTTCCTCTCTGTTTCGCCCTCTGGCTATCATTCTTTCAAAACACCTTAATAGATTTTCTACCTAATTCCATCAAACATGCCTTTTGTAACATTCATTACATCCTGATTTTCCAAAGGATCATCATACATGGACTAAATAGAATTTTTACATAGACATTTTTATTGATTCCACCACTTAGAAAGTTAACTGCATAACTTGGATCTCATGGTGATTATCAAAACCGACACATGCATTTTTTTTCTTCATTTGAACAGTATTATATTTTATATGAGTGCTTTAGAAGTTATATACACCCATTTAATATTTTACAATATTTGTGCTATTTCTTTTTCTTTTTAAAACACATCTTTTTAAAAATTTTTATTAGCACAATGCAAATAGATCAAATACAATTCTAATATATTTATTCTCTTTTCTTACTCTCATCAATTCCCTTCCATTAAAAAAATAGTCCATTTTTCAAAAAACATAGTAAATTTTACAATCACAGGCTGAAGTTGCCACTAACCATAACATTCAACATGTAAAATATATAAAGATTGCAGTTCCACAGGAGTGCATAAACGCTGACTAACAATCACAGCAAATCTACCATCCACTCTTACATCTATTAGTAAGTCAAGTTCTTCAAGTCTTTTTCCACTGCTACTTTGATGCATGGCCCTTAATGACAAGTACATAATATAAATATTCTGTTGGATTTTAAATCTAAAGCAGAAAGGTGTTTATATCATTTTGGGGAAATGATGGGGCACCAAGAGCAGGCTTCAGAATGCTTCCCAGATTCCCCCCTGAAAGACACTGTCAGAGATTCAGAAGTTGTTAAGAAGTCAGAGTGGCTCCCAAGGGTACCTTTTTCTTACCAAACTCAGTACTCTTGTTCATTCCCTGTGGAATTTTCCAGTAAAGACTAAACTTCGTAACACAGTTCAATAAGCACAAAGTTAATGGCAATAATTCAATAAAGCATGGCAGCAGTAGGAAGAAAGCCTTTTAAAGTAAGGTTAAAACATCGTGAAGGATCTCCTGATGGACCATGTCCGGGTCGGCTAAACGCGATGAGGAGCAGGATGGAAGTGCTACGCCACAGACCGACCGTGAGCGTATGACAGGTGCTTCCTACCCAAAGCGGCTGTGCGTGGGAGACAGCGGGAGAGCGAGGCCGACACAGGGCCCTGGGAGGGTATTGATCTGCGCCCTGGGAGGGTATTGATCTGCTGAATCTCCTGGTAACCTTTGCAGAGAGACATGAGCTGACAGTAATGAAAATGACTTACACACTGGGACGGTTTCAAACTCGAATCTTCGACTGAAGACCCCGTAGCCTGCTGCCGTACGCGCTCGGATTTGGAAGACATACACCGAGGCTGGCTTCAAGCCTTCTGCAGTAACGCTTGTCTCTTTAGATTTGATGATCGTGTAGCTGCTTTCTTGGTCCTTGAGTTACAAAGGGATACAGAGAAAAAAGTCAACATGGGAGTTTCCAATGGAGGCAAATGTTAGAACCACAAGATTACAAACCAGAAACCTCTGTCAATTAGCACAGATTTTTTCTTTTTTTTTAGGACAAAAAAGCTGAGTGTCCCATGTGTGCTATTTATACAAAATCTTAAAGTTTTTTTCTAGAAACTAAAATGATAATGCCATGTTTGCCACCCATCTACCATACTCACTTCTGGCAAAAAACAGACTCCTAAAACTTTGAAATAACAATTCTGCGGGTGTTTTAGAGATGTTTTCTTTAATGTGACTGGTGTACTTGCTGTCCTTAGAGTGTATCTAGTATGATGTCAGTTCAGGGAAAGCTGACAGTCTCTCACGTGCTGCCAGATGAGACTTCCTTCTTTAAAACCGGTGAATTCACTTCATAATTATATTTAAGGATCAGGAGAAGACATTAGGAACTTCGAGGGACTTTAACTCATTAGGCTTAAAAAAAGAGGGCTAATAAAAACACGCAAATAACCCAGATCTTTTTTTTTTTCCTCTTTTAAAAATATCCACCATAAATGGGAACAGGACTAGGAAAACAGTGCATGGGGAAATAGTAGGGAAAAAAAAAAAAACCACATTGTGAAGACAATTTTAGAAACTCCAAGAATGTCTTCTACTTTGATGGCCAATAACAGAATAACCATCCTCCGCTGCTCATTGTGTCTGACTTGAGGGTTGACACAGAAATTCCACGCGAAAACCCAGCAGGCCCATTTGCACTGATTCCTCAGTGCTCCTGGCCGTGAAACCGAGGAAGAAATCCATGGAGGTGTGATTAAAACAAGGCATGCAACGCATACGGAAACAATTTATAAACTGAAATGTGATTTCATTTCATACTTATTTTATTTTCTCAGCATTTTTTAAGTGGACCCATCAATGCTGACATCAACTACTCTGAATACCACCACCAATCCTACCTAAAAATACATAACCTGTATTCTTTTTCAAAGTAAACTTACGGGGCCCAGCGCCATAGTGTAGTGGTTAAAGTCCTCGCCTTGCACGCCTGGGATACCATATAGGCTCCCGGTTCTAATCCCTGTGACCCTGCTTCCCATCCAGCTCCCTGCTTGTGGCCTAGGAAAGCAGTTGAGGACGGCCCAAAACCTTGGGACCCTGCACCTGCTTGGGAGACCCAGAAGAGGCTCCTGGCTCCTGGCTTCGGGTTGGCTCAGCTCCAGCCATTGAGGCCACTTGGGGAGTGAATCATTGAATGGAAGATCTTCCCCTCTGTCTTTTCTCCTCTCTGTATATCTGACTTTCCAATAAAAATAAATAAATCTTAAAAAAAATAAACTTATGATTCCTCATTTATTGCACCAACATATGAAATTATCTCTGAGAGAGAAATACGTCCAAAATCTTCTTTAAAGAAGTAAATACTAATTCCAAAACCAAATATTCCTCATTCTTTTGGGGTAAATGAGTAATCTTTAGGTTTTAACGAGAAGATTGAATCAAGTGTCAAAGAGTTTTACGAAAGACTTCCAGAAGGAATTAAATTCTCAAAAACTTCAAGTGTATGCCAATAATTTTCTCCTTTCACTACATTTATTGTCTATTAGCCTATACTATTAGATCTTTTCCATTCAACAGTAAAAGCGTAATATTTTTATGTTTCCCCTAAGACATGTAAGAAGTTCCCATAACATATGAAGTGCCGTAGGAAAGCTAAAGCTTATCAATAAACAAGCCTGATGATGCCTGTATTACTTCTCAATGTTAGAATTCAATATTATTTCTAAGTTACATAATTTGATGTTAGCTTTGAGTACAGAAATATTGTGTCTGTAGGAAATTTTCAACGCCTTTGTTGATATTATTCCTATTTATTTATTGATTGGATGATTTTAAAGATTTATTTTTTTTGAAAAGGTAGATAAGCAGAGAGAAGGAGACAGAGAGAGAAAGATCTTCCATCGGCTGGTTCACTCCCCAAGTGCTTCCTCCAGGTCTCCCACATGATGCAGGGTTCCAAGTTTTTGAGTCATCCTCTACTGCTTTCTGAGCTGGAAGGGAAGTGGAGCAGTTGGGACACAAACCAGTGACCACATGGGATCCTGGAGCATGCAAGGCGAGGATTTAGGTACTAGGCTTTTGCACCAGGTCCCTATTCCTTTTTATTTAAAACATTTTAAACAGTTGGAAATTTGCTCAAAAGTAAAATATATGATTCTGATACATTTGACACCATAATGATTTTGATATAAAATACTAACATTTATGGTGTAAAATAGGAATTATTTTTTAAAAGAAAATGAAATAGGAACAGCATCATTAGAACATCAGTAACACAGTAGGTGTTCATGGATGTCAGTGCAGAATTCTGAGCATCACTTTACGCCCCTATAACATGGAAGTGTGTTGCTCAATCGTAACGGGGAAATGACACCGAGTTAACTTATAGAGCTGAAGGCACCTGCTCCACAATGTGGTAGCTTGTAGCTGAATTGGTTGATTCATAACTGCATATCGTGGTGGTAGAAATTCCAATGAAAAGTAATAATCAGGGGCCAGCCTTGAGGTTCAGTAAATCAAGCAGGTGCCTCTGATGACATCATCCCACAGTTGACCTATTTAGACTCAGCAACTCAGCTTTCCATCGTTTCCCAGCTTCAGCCTCTGGGAAAGCCGTGGGTGATGGCTCCAATCCTTAGGCCCCTGGTACCCACATGGGAAACCTGGATGGGAATTCCAGGCTCTGATGCCAGCCTAGCCTAACCCCAGCTTTAGAGGCATCTTGGGGAGCAAACTGGTGAATGGAACATGTCTCGCTCTCCTTTTCTCTCACTGGCTTTCAAACATGTTTTTAAGTAAACCTTCTTTAAAAAGAGAAAAGTGAATATCGAAATCAGAATGCTCTCCTTGAAAGAGTGCATGATTAAATATCAACTGAAAATATTACACAACATGCCGATTTCATAATTAATGTTTATATATTTTGCCATTGTTAGACTCTAATTTTACATTGTGTCTCTGTTTTAGCTGTCTACTAGAGAAGAGAATTTAGCCAAGCATGTGAAATGATGAACGTCGCTGAACTGACAGTGGGGGCAATGAAAATGTCTTCCTGAATGTGCATCTATCCCACTCTGTTAATGCTCTCACCTGTTATAATTTTCTCTATCGTGCAAGCCCTTCTTACACATCGGCAACACCCACAGCTGCCCGGCTGCCAAGTCCTGGCTCAGGGCAGTGGCTTTTGCTGCATGACCCTCCAGCAGAGCATGGGAGCTGCATTCCCCAGCTGCTGAGCAAATGGCGCTGCCATGTGGGCAGGGGAGGAGGGCCTGTGCAGCAGCCAGCTGGCACAAGCTGCTGAAGGGCAGCTTCTTCCTTCCTCCGCCGTTAATTAAGAGATGGCAAAGAGCCCATCACCACGCTGGAGCAGAGAGGCCCACCGACCTCTGTTAGAGCTGGGCCATGGAAGGCAGCGATGCTACTTGGCAAATGCATGTGCCCTGGAAAACACCGCCACCTGGGTTTGGCCAAAAGCCATCTAGTAAAATGGGTGCTGTCTGCAATGTTCAACACGAGAGATCTACCCGGCTCCCCTTAATGCATGATATAAAAGCTCATGATCCCATTTTGCTTTTCTGAGATCCTAAAAAATATTTTCAAGTAAAATATTTAAATATACAGACCTTGACAAAAAGGTCTGAAAATTAGCATATTAATGTAGAAAGGAAAACAATGACCAAAATGAGTTAACAATTTCCACCAGGATAATCTGTTATGTAAACTTTTTGTTCCTTTTTACATATCTAAGAGGCAATTTATATAAAGAAACTTTTTTTCTCAAAAACATTTTTTCCTTACTGAGTTACACAAATAAGATGTAGTATAATGGCATTAAATGCCAGCAAATACAGCAGGAACAAATCCTAGTGGAATTACATACTTCCAAAGAAATTAATGTAGAAAGAAAACAGCTTCACAAAATGAATAAAATTCACTAACAGAAATATTCACGGAAAAGGCCTCCTTATCAACTTGTTCAGTAATCCTATTAGGATCCGTCACTTTGTGAAACATGTAAATCATTGCACTTTCTTAAAAAGCATGTACATATTGAGAGCCGTGTGTATGTGGAAGGGTGCAGGGCAAACACCCAGGGTCACTCATGTAAGCAGAAAAGGAATACAATGGTGCCCAGGCTGGCACATGTGCTATATGTAAATGTTGTCAACAGTACTTTAAAATGCTGGACAGAGGGCCCCGGAATGGGGCACAACAGGGGAGGTGGAAGTTGGCTACATTTCTAAGCTGCCCACTCCAGCTCAGCTTGACAAGTTATACCTCATCATGAGTGATAAACTCCACCAGTCTTTTTCAATTGCTCACACAGAGGTGAATATTACCATTGGGTTGTAATAAACATATGTTTAAAGGAGGCAGTCTGGGAAGAAGACACTAACCTTGTATAGGTCCCCATATCTGACTTTGTACCCTCCGTGTGAAAAGTAATTGATAAGACATTATATTGGATATAATGGGCAAGAAATTATACAAGGATGTAGCATCGCAAAAATTTTAAGCTTAGTAATAATTTCTCGGCACATTCCTAAATATGAAGCTTTATAAATAAAAAAATAACAAGCTTGTGAAAAATATAATTAAAAGGTAATTTTACTTTTATGGAAAGTTACAAATGTAGGAGCTGGTTTTCCCAATGGGCATTTTCTGGAACTTCTTGTACGTGCAGCTTGCTGCTGGGTTTCAGGCCCAGTCCCTGTCCGGATGCACGGAAGATTTTCCCTGCAGTCATTACTGCAGTTCAGCATCTTAAGTGTTTGTAACACACCAAAGTGTCCTATGATTTCATCCTTTAGTGCTCTGAAATTTAGTTAAGCTAATGTTAGATTACACTGTGGTTCCCAGGCAGCAAAAACTATCTGGCAGTGCAAGAGAGGAACAGACCACCCCGTGCCCTATAGCCTCCACAACCATGACTACAGAATCAATTGTCATCGATTTGCACATGAAATTGACACGTTCTCTTCTACAAATCGGGTCATTGCAGCCACTGAAATGAGAAAGAAAGGAAAGAAATGACATCTTTTATACTGTTAGTCCCACCTTTTCAAAGTATTTGATTTCATATTCCAGGATGATTCCATTGGGGCGATCCGGCTCTTGCCAGGACAAAGATATGCTGTTTTTTGCGATCTTGCCCTTTTTCACGTTGGTGACTGGAGAAGGGGCTGCAAAACAACAACAACAAAAAAAGGGAAACTTGATTAATGGAATCATTCAAACTGTATTTTCTTGCACAAGTCACACATATTGACATTTTTACAATATAGCATATTATGACTATCGGCAGTTTAATTTTAATCAGGTAACTGCTTAACTTTATGATTAAAAGATGCTTTGCAAATAGGAGTCAGCTATGTATTTTGAGGATTTTCTTATCCCTGTAGCAATGCAGAATCTTAAATTTCCATTTTTTGTATAAATTTTAGACATGTAAAAAATTACTTTTTTTTTAAAGAATGAAGATGTTCTTTGTCAACTTGTATATATATTTTGTGTTTGCAAAATGTAAGGACAGTGAAAATAATCCATAATGCTAACCCATTTATAGCTTTGGTACCACATACCCACAATTTTAAGGCTCTTTTTCATATTTATGAATTTGATACATATGAGTTATAAACCAAACATGGGAAGCCCCATAACATTTTCTGATCATTATATAACCAGACTATAACAACGTACATTATATAACAGTGCATGTTATATAATAGTGTGCATGTATAACAGTATGTATAATGAGCAACGTCTGCCTTAATGGTGATATTGATATCACAGTGTGGTTACTTCTACTGGCAGGTCTCACAATCACCTTTTGGCATAAGTTCAAAGTCTTACTGACTTCCCATCAGGGCAGAGCTATAAACCTATGCCTTGTTCAACACTGGGGAGACGGCATCCAGCGACACAGCACTGTACAATATTAAGCTGTGAACTGCCTACTTCATTGGAGGATTTGCAGAAAAACCGTGAGTCTCCTGCAACAGGAGCAGCAATGAAGAGCTAAGGAAGGCAACATATTCTTTAATTGGCATCTGTTTGGTAGTAAACTTCTTTATAAATCTCCATGAATTTAATCATCAGTTAAACTGTCCACTGTATATATTTATTTTCTACTTCGGTAACAATACTTCTTCCCATTTTGTTTTTTTTTTCACTTCACTACGTGCAAACCTCCCTTCAGAGATGGCTGTCAGTTTTCCTGGAAAAGACTGGTGGTGTTGACTCCATTCCCCTCACGAATTGTATTTCACACATTTGCTTATGAAGGGAGGGACTGACTGGGTTTCATTCACTGATACATTTCAATGGCAAAGCTATTATTTAGCCTGTGAAAATTTACTAAGTCATTCTGAATGAATAGATGAATGACTGGCCAGCACACATCATCACATATCACTGAAAACTATTTTTGTCCATCTTAAAGGCATATGAAGGATAATACCAGTTGGGAATCTGTACTTTTTTTTTTTACCATTTACTCTTTCACAAAATAATGAGCCACTTCAAAGCGAGCTAACAAACAGCTGTGAACACAGATACATCAGCTCAGCGTGGGACAGTCTGTGATTCACTTACATCCGTCCACGTGAAACTTGAGTTATTTAGCTTTCAGTGATCACTTAACACATGCCATTGTTCTCCACACTTTGCTTCCTTACTGCCCTAAAAATATTCTCAAGTGAGGACAGAATATTACTTCTGATGGCAGAAGAGGGCAGCACTAGAAGTAGTCATTTCTTCAGGGAGCACTGAGTTGACCGTAAAAGAGAATTAGAGGCCGCGATCCAGGTGCCAGTGAGCCTGTTGCTACTGAGATGCTGTTACTTGTAGGCTGACAGAACAAGGAAATAAAACACGTGCAACCAGAAGTACCTCATCATGCGTTCATCTCTGTCTGTGTTAGGCTACACTTGAGTACCAGTTTTTATCAGTCACTGCCTGGGCCATTCTACCCTCGTAACATTGCTTTCTTGGGTACTCCCACTCAAACAGTCTGTCTGCCATCTGCTTAGCTAAACGTTTTTGTAGGACCAACTGCTTATGAAGTGCTTTTCGCTGTCAAAGATACTGAGAAGGGTATCCTGGGATCATGTCCAGCATCTTAGAGGCACAAACAGTGGCATACAAAGCACAGCCATCAGTAACATGAGGGTATTTCAAAATGTTTGTGCAAAATGTAGTTGAAAAAGTTTACACGTATCTGCTATTCAACTCCATTGTTCAAAAGCTGAGAGTCCTATGTTTCTTCTCTGCCATGCATCTTCGATCACACTTGGAAGCCCCTAGTTATACAGATGGGTCTAGGCTAGTCTTCCCTGAAGAACAGGTTAGCAGATCTCTTTCTTGAAATTTTTGACTATGACTTAAGTACTTTTAAAAAAATACATTTGAGGAGTGATTTTATTAGTAAAAGTCACAGAATAATGAAGGTAGCTCAAACTAGGATTAGTTTTCCTTTTAGCATAATTTTATTAACAAATAGTTGAAGCTGAAAACTGGATTGGTTTTGATATTTTGTAAGCTGCTCTGGTCTTCAACCTTTTCCTCCCCATTATTGACTGCCATCATGATTTTTTCAGCATGCCTGGTCTTTCTGCATTCAGTGATTATTTCCACTGGTATCTAATAACTCTGATCCTTTAGTCTCTCTTGGTTCTTGTTTCAATCAAATATGTTGTAATTTTATCTGATCAGACCGTAATCTCTACAAGGTTAGAACACATCTGTACCCTGTTTGCTTTTCCCTGTCAATCTTAGAGCAGTTTCTGATAAATTCTTGAAATACACAACCACCATTTTGTTGAAGACACTGTAGCGATCCTCCTGGTTGAACTCAAGTTTTCTATCCACCTTCATCACCTAAATACGACGGATGTCTTTTTGTTCATACAAACTTGCTCACGTCACTAGTATGCTCAAAATGGCCACTGTGCCCAGTGGTTCAGTAAACCATGAGTGTCCTTCTATATGGCCAAATTTAAAAACTCATCTCCTCTATCATGGGCTGTTCCCTTTGATACTCACGAACACTCTCAAATTATCCTGTATCTTGGGATCTTTACACACATATGTCTCTACATTGCGAACACACTCCCTGAACATCATGCATTTTGTTCTTCCCCTATATTTTTATAAGCAAGCCATGTTTACACACTAATCTACCGTTCAGTAGCTCCAGCCTTTTTTTCATGCTAGCTCTTCCTGATAGAGCCTTTTCTTGTTTACTGTCCATGTCTTTGTGTACTATAAGAATGCAGCCTCCTTGGTGAGAAGCACTTTGGCTGTCTAATTTACTGCATCTCATGTACGTTCAAAATTCTGGGAACATAGGGTGATCTCTATTTTTTCTTGTGCATGAATTGTTTCTATATGGTTTAAAGTTAATAATCGTTACATAACACATGGTTCTTTTTCCTAGGTATCAAATAAACTTGTCACACAAACCATTCAACTTTGCAGTTTGCAATCTCCCATGCCAACAGGAGCTTGCACTATTTGCGATTTACTCAGATGTTTGCTCTATTCCAGTAAATATGTGCTGGAAATAAAATGCTTTCAATGTGTTTCTGACACAGCACAATGTAGATAAAGCTGTTTGTGAATATCATATAGTGAATACATACATGATCTATAAGAATCTGATGACATTAATAAAACAAATAAACATCAGTAATGAAGAATTTAATACATGTAGGGATCTATAGGGGAAAATGTGAAGAACTTATTTTAGTCTATGTTCTATTACCCCAAATTATCTGTTTGAAATGAGTTACCAAGATACATTTTACAGCATAGCATGCATACATGCACCATTTCAAATTCATTTATATGTAAGCAATTATGTGTATATTATGAAGTGATAAAAACCAAAGAGAAATAAGGAATAGACTTTTAAAATAATAAAAAAATAGAGTACAGGTTTTAACTCTGCTATGTCTGATTTTCCTACTCATAAACTTTCTTTCACATATTCATGAATAAAAGAGGATAAACAGAGGGGAGACAATTTAGAAGACATACTCTGAGTGACATTAACCTGATAACCCCTCCCTGTACCTTCCCCCCATGGTGGATTCCTCCACCTTGTTGCTGTATTATATTTCAAATTCAGTCAAGATTCTTTCATTGCAAGCATTTACCAAGCATAGAGTCCAGCATCTTATTGTTCAGGTAAATTCAACAGTTTCTTGGGGAGACCATCTCTGGTCTGAAGGCAGAACTGGCAGAATATCATGCTGATCAATTTAAAGCCACAACATAACATCAGCAACAATTTACAACATTATGGAATTAATTGACATGGTATTGAGTAACCAATATGCTAAAAAGATGCAAGACCTTAACCACATCCTGTGACTACGTCATTGACATTTCAATTTTAGCTTATACACAGAACCGGCTGCTATACATCTTAAAATGGCTATAGGGTACAATTCAGCTGTCTCGTGTCTATTTTCATTTTAGTATTTAGCAGTTTATAGTGTTGAAGCATAATTTTACTGAACTTGGCAGATTTCAGGATAGTCTAACCTGGCTTATAACTCTAACAAGGCATATGTCAACAGCTGAGGTGCAGAACAGTTTTAGGAGGGGTGTGCAGAGAAATCTTCAATACCCAAGGAGACCACAGGGAATTGGAGTGCCTTCAGAGGCCGAGAACTCTGAGGTCATCCACCCCCGTTTGGATCTACCACATGGGATGCAAGAAGCCCAAATCCTTCCTCGCAGGATCCAAGGTCATCAGAACAACAGGCAGGAACACTGAGCATTCTGCAGAAACAGAACAGTAAACTTCCTTGGGAATACGGAGAGGAGCTTTCTCTGGTCCTCACTTAGTTCCAACTTCGGATCCCCACCCTCTCTGGCAATGACCATCAGGGTTGCTCCGGAGCACCCCACCCCAAACACACACACACACACACAAATTAGAATAGATGGACAGAGAACAACAAGGAAAGCTTAGAACCAGACAGGAAACGGTCAGCATGGACTCACACATACCTTACCAGTTAGGACATTTTTCAATTTAAACCTTTCCACAGGCTACACACATGCACACACACAGACATATGCTTGTTGCAAGATTATATACATATGTTAAAGAAGCATATAATTAAAGAACTATGTACTTAGTTGCTTTATATACACACATAAGTATTCCATG